AATTTTTTTAATTATTATTAATTAAAAATTGACACAGATTTTTTATTTATTATTAATATATTTGGTGTCGTTTATGGACGACAACATAATAATTATTTTATGTATCGAGATGTTATGCAATGTTGGTTAAAACCGAGAGTAGTTTGAGTATTTTATTTGTTTAACTGTTATGTGATGTCGGTTAGGACCAACAGTAGGTTTTTTATTTTAATTCTTTAATTGTTGCTGGATATCGGTTAGGACCGCCATCATGTCAGAATTCAACGTCGCTTCTAACCGACGTAAGTTTAGATGTCACTTTTAACAAATGATGTTGTTCTTTTTATTTTATATTACTTTGCTTCTTGGTGGCGGATTAAGGGGACTAAACGACGTCAATACCCTTTTCATGACGCTAGCAACGGTGTTGGTTCTCCCATCCAACATTGCACTGGTGTTGGTCTTTTTGATTGAGTGCAAGCGTGCCAACTCGCGGTCTAAGACCAAGTAAGTAAAGAGAAGTTTTTGGAGATTTTGGTTGCGCTTTTAATGATCTTTTCAAATGCGCTTTTGGTTCGAGAAAGGAACCTGTCTTAGTCGTAGTTTCTCCTTCCCTTTTTTGCAAGGATTTCAGAATATGCATTAGATAAACGTTGAGATGGGTGATGTGGGTGTGAACATAATGAATGAATGGATGTGTGAAAGAAAGTTTGGGGATTGATATAGTGAGATGAAAGGTATGGGAAGTCAAATCGCATCAACGAATTAGTCGAATGGTTAGAATGTGCTTTTGTAGTATCATGGTTGACTTGGGTAGTTATGACACAATTTAGATGACAGTTATGTTACGTAGAAGGTATCAAATATGGGTCCAAACAAGAGTTTTCATTTTCACTTTTTTTATGTTTCCACTAAGGGAATGAGGAAACAAATTGTTATTAAATTTGTCATTCACGAGATTCGAATCTAAAACATCTCATTTACTAATGAAAAATCACCAGACCGTAGTATACTAATGGCATCATTATTTCTCTATCTCTCTCTCTAAATCAACAACAAATCTATATCTCAATTTATCGGTCTCAAATCACAGAAAGAGATGCAGAAGAGGGGAGGCATGGAAATTGGTGAGGTATCAACTAGCGACAACAGAGGATTTCCATTGGTCAAAATGAGAGAGTGCAACTTTGCTCATTACCTATTATTAGATTAGTTTGGTTTAACTGATTTAAAACAAGAATCTCGAAATGTAAATTAATCTAACAACAATTAATAAGTGTGAGCTAATCTCTCACTTTAGGGGATTGAGCAAAAATGCACTCAAAATGAGAACTCTAAAAATTGCTAGGTGGAATGGAATACTTTTTAGGTAAAAACATAAGCAACCACCAAAAAGTACACATCTACAATTTACAAGTCCAGTAATAAAATTTAAAGTGCAATTAGCCCTTCGGATTAGCGTAAATAGTGATGAAAAACGGACTTGTCAATGGATCAGATTTTTTGTAATTAATAGGATATAGATCGGACTTCCGATCCGATTATCCGAATAAAATATGAATTTGATAATTTAATTATAAATGGATTTGGATATAGATCGAGGTTGATCCGATTTGAATTAATATACATATTATTTGATTTTTACAATATACATTTTTTTTGCTAAATTTATTTTTCATAATATTTATATTTTTTCTGTAATGGTAGTTTAAGTTTTTTATGCAATAAAATGCGCTTATACCCTATTTTCCCATTATTCAACATGAAACTTTTACTTAAAAATAAAAAAATATAATTAAAAATTGAAGTTCCTAATGATATTTATATCTTCGTAATGATCTGATCTCATCTAATTCCAATGCTAATAAGACCTTAATTGACAAATCAGATCCTATAATTGGAATATAATACGATCATAAATTGATCCAAAATGAATCAAAACTGATCCGATCAGAATCTGACTCGATTACAAATCTATAAAAAGTGAAGTGATAATTTAGAATATAACAGGTCTAGTATTCAAATCCGTCCAATGTAACAAAAAACTTTGAAAGTGAAATAACATTCATTACCAATTTCCATGTTGGTAATTGGAAGATTTCATGCGAAACAAACAAAAAGCAAAACAAATGAAAGAAGTGGCTGGGATATATGACAAAAGAGAGTGACTCACCTGTCATCTATCTTTGAAATAATTGATCTTCCTTTTAATCCTAATCTTTTGGAGGCATCCACTTTTGCCCACCTGCTTGTTTGTGGTAGGTGTACATATTTAATTTAACGTCACTAGGCCTGATGCGATGGCCCTGGCAATCCCTACCATGAAAATGAAGGATGATTGCACGGTAACATGAGACTCCTGCATGCTGCATGTGCCTGTCATGATCATGAAAACTGAGTTTCAAGCAGCTCATATCACACTACCAAATTTAAATTCCTTATGATCTCAACCAAATTGATGAATTGCGACGACTCACGAGTCACTATTGTTACATATACAATTTCGTGGAGACTAATGTTGGGGAGAATTTTCAAATCAAATTTGCAAACTAAATGATATGTCATTAATATAAAATAAATACGTTAATCAACGATTAAGTAAAAAACAATAACATGCTAAATTCAATGCAAAGTGAATGAACGGGTGAGATTTACAAAACAGAATTTATACTTTAGTCACTTTCGTGCACTTAAAACGCAAAGTATTGTAGTCACATTTGTTATTGACGGGGGCAGTTAGTTTGTTGGGAAGATATTATGAAGAGGCTGTTAGATTTTCTGGATTTATTTGTGTGGCAGCAGAAAATGCAGGGCTATGATTTAATTCGCAGGGTGCATGCATTGGACCATAAGTAGAAGAATTCTCCAATTTAGGGGAACATTTGGTGCTTATTAGTTATTCCTATAGCCCAAATAGGAATGCCCCCAATAACTTGAGAAATGTCATTCAACTTTTGTCTTTTCTAAAAATGAGCAAATATCTTTGTCATATAAAGAAAAAATTTCCATTTGGAAGCCATATGTTTAAATAGCAAGGTAAATCCCATTCAATTTGGTGTTGATTCATTTATTAGGTTAAATTTTTCGAAGAACGATTTTGAGTTTGCAATCTCTTTCAATATAAGGTAATTCCTGGTTGTTAAGTGAACTTTACACGCATTAACAGAGTAAAAATGGATGAACTATGAACTTTACACGCATTGACAGAATAAAAACGTGTAAGCAATTGACTGTAACACAGCGTAATCTTTGAGTGGAGCAAATAATAAGGGCAATCAAGGTGGAACACGTCATAGAGTGACTTAGGTTGGTGAAACAAGGTGTCAATTGCATGCACCAGAGATGCCGGTGGTGGACGGGTGGTACGTATACGGACAGCATTGGCCATCAAATGTGATGGGACATGCCTTACATTTAAGCTGCAGCCAGCAACCTAATACGAAGACCTCTTTGACTAATTCCAACCAAATAGCTCAAGATTAATATGAATCATGGGTCCCCCTAAAGTAGTTAACAACGGTAAAATGCAAAGATCAATAATGTTCTTACATTCTCTTTACTTGTAAGTGAAAGGTTTTAAATTCAATTCTTGTCAAAAACAACTTTGAACCATATTATTGTTAGCTCATTATGAGGCTAAGTTCATCTCCTTCTCCTTAGCGTATATAATGTCGTTTGTTAAAAAAAAAAAATTGTTCTTACAAATTTGGGGACTAACTAGTGAGTATACATCGTAATAAAGAATAATAGAATTACAGAAAGAATGTTAAGGTTTACGTGACAGAACTCAAATTAGATAGTTTAAAATCTTTTATGTGTTATAAAATAGAGTAATGCTAGGGAGATTAAATTTGAAGACTAAATTTACAAATTAAATAACATGTCACCAATATGAATAAACATGTTTATCAATGCTTAAATAATAAATCAATCGTCAACTTTCATGTCCTTTAATTTTCAAAACTTTGTCTTCAAATTTAGTCTCTCTAACATTACTCTAAAAAATAATAGATATATAACTTAATTGATTATTCAGAGAATTGATCAATGCACTCAAGATTTTATGTTCATTTATCCCGTCAAGGTTTTCAGCTCATTGTGTTTTTGTCGAGTCAAATACGATCACTTGACTAGTATTAGAGCATTTAACTTTAAAACATAAAACTGTTGGAAAAATTAATTAATTAGCATTTTAGTTTATTTTCATGTTATGATGTTTTATATTATTTATTAGGATTTCGAAATTAAATAAGGATTGTGACTCCTTTCTTACTTTATAATAGATTTAGGATTTGCTTTGCTAAACTTCTAAGATTTAGGATTACTTTCTTATTCGTTTTGTATTTAGGTTTTTATAAGAATCCTAATTTGTAGTCGGTTTATTCTTCTTTTTGTTTGATAAGGCCACATCAAAATTTAAGACGTGAAAAAAAAAAGTAACTCTTTTATTATGTGAAAATTGGTAATTTCATCATTAAAAATCTATAATGCACCAGTGTGGGGATGCATCGGTGCATTGAACGCCTGGATTGCATTGTTGGATTTTGATAATCTCAATCTAACCGTTCAAACACTGATGCATTGTAGAAAAACCGTTAATTTTGTTATTATATTTTTACTGGATTGGGACTATGGTGATAATATAACACACTTCCTGGCTCCCAAAGGTGCCTAAAGGACGGACCAAATGCAACAGAGCGATGACCCGAGAGCAAATTCCCCATCGATGGGGGACAAGAGACAGCCATCTCCAGGCACATCACGACCTATAGGCAACATCTGCGAAAAAAAAAGGTAATGATAAAAACATATTTTATAGCAGGGTAGTGCTTTTTACACATCCTTTTTAACTTAATACACACCTTTCTAGTTTTGTAGCCGTTAAATTAAGCAATTAAAGTAAATTATACACAAAGTAAAAAATGGGAGTGGTGAAGTCACTACCCCTTATGATATGGTAAATTGTTTTATTCATGGTAGGTTTATTCTTGGCCCCTATATTACATTGGCAGGGTCGCATGTTACAGATAGTACCGTGTACCATGCGCGTACGTACGTCCTTTTCTTCTCCCTATTTCTGTTGCTTTCCTCTCCATCCTGTGGTTTTAACCAGGTCACAACCTGAAAACCACAAACCCCAAACCAGCATCTCTTTCTTTGGCCTCCTTAAAACCTAAATCCTTTTTTTGGGGTTCGAAGGAGGCCGAGGCGATTTCTTTCTTCCCATTCCAAACAAGGGGTTGAGGCCTCGAAGGCTCTAGCGGAGAGAACGAGAGCCAAACTCTTGAGTGGGGTGCGTGGAGAGTGGATGCACTGCTCCACCACCGCCACCCTGTCTCTCTGATGTTGGTGATGTGATCACAACCGAGAAGGCTTGAAAAAGGATAAAAGTTTTGCTTTGGTGTTGGGGGAAACAAAGCAAATCAAGCTGGCAGGTAAACAAAAAAGGAACACTAACGTATAATTCTCAATACCACGGATTGATATATTTATTCTGCCACGAATATTAGTGTCCGTACAGGATACGTATCGATCTTCACGTGGTGTTTGTTGTTTTCCGCAGTACAGTTCATGTCTTGGGTAGTATTCTGGGGATTTGAGATTGTTTCTGAGGTGGGTTCGTGTCGGTTTCTGAGGTGAGATTGTTTTGGAGTTGTGTCTAATGTGTTCGATTCGTCTTTTGTTGTTTTGTGTGACAGGGGAGGTTTCTGAGCGAACACATTATAATCTCAAAGCTTCCACAGAGAAGCTGCATCAGATACAACTCTGGCCGTCGAATCGGGCAAGTTTTCTCGAGCCGGGGCAGGCGTTGGCGATCAGGTCTCTGGTTCTCAACCCTGTTTCGGGTGGTCTCGGTCGCCGGTCTGGTGGCTTCCCGTTGATTATGGTTAATCCTTGATCCAACCATCACTGGAAGTACAGCCTCTCAGCATTCAATCAGACCTTTGGAATTGGAATGTGAGATCAATTTTGAAGAAAACAGCAGGAAAATCCACATACAAGTGTCTTCGGGTTTCGGTCTATTTTGAGGATTCGGAGGTTTTTCATATCGAAAATGGCAAAATTCAGTTGCTTTTCTTTAATTGGTAGGAGGAAGAAGAAGGTTAAGGTGAGAATCTCAAATCTTTTCGGTTACTTTCTTATAACGTGATGTGTTTGATTTGTGACTTGCGATGATCCGCTGATTTTCGATCACTTTTGTGCTCGATTTTAGGGAGATGATGAATCTACAAGAAGTGGTGAAGTGGACAAGGCAATTAGAACCCTGCAAGTCAGGCTTCAACAGCAGCCTCTGAAACCGTTGGAGATTGATGGGAAATCGAAGCCGGCAACTTTCGGAGTCCTAATACCTTATGGTGTTGAGAAGAAGTACTCTTCCCCTCCTAGTGGCAATACAAGGAGCCCGAAAAGTCCTATCAGGTGCGTTGAAGCAGCGGCTTGTGAAGGCGAATATGAGCACAAAGAGAGCCCCTTAGCCAAGGGAAGCTCCTCTAATGATCACTCTGATCTGCAACCCAATGAAGCCAATTCAGGTGACGTGACTCCATCAAGGAAGTTGGATTTATCCGAACCTGATTCGAGCTCTCGAGGGGTTCAAAGCGGGCATTTTAGTGATCCCGGGGTTGGTAAGGCCGAGTTTTGGGCATCACCAAAGCTTACCAGATCATGCTCTAATTTGGAGACTCATAAGAAAGTTGTTAAAAAGATGACCTCTAAGATGCCTGCTTCGAAGTCTCTGTCTCTCGAAGAACGGCAGGAAATGGCTGATAGTGTGAGGAAGGATGTTGATCCAGGCAGCCCTAGTTCTGTGTCAAGCCACTACAGTGCTGATAGAGTGATGCTGAAGAAGCATTCTTCAAGCCAAGTTCTGCCTTCTCGAAGTCGAAAATTGTGGTGGAAGTTGTTCCTTTGGAGCCACAGGAACCTGCACAGAACACGGGATGCAAAACCAAATACACTTAGTCCCATTTCAGCAAACAAGCAAGGAGGGTACTCTTCAGACACACTCGAACCAAATCTAGCTATGCAGTTTGGCAAGACGGAATCACCACTATCATATACTGGAGAATTGTTGGACAAGGGGAAGAACATTGTAGATGAAAACAAGAGCTGGGATGGTTTTCACATTGGTGCGTCGGCCTTATGGCCTCAGAACCAATGGGTTGCTTTCTCGACAGAAGCCTCATCATCTTCAAGAGTGCAAGACTGGGTGAAAGATCTCAGAATACAAACCTCCGTTGAAAAGAATGAAGATGACAATGAGGGAATCGTCTCCCCACGGACACCCCCCACTCCTGAGACTCCAAAGTCTCCTGTGACTCCTGCGACTGCTAGATCGAAAAGCGCCACTTACTTCAGCCGAGGCCTTGAAGAGGATACCTTACATGCTAATACTGTGATCCAGTCTCTAAATTCTTCCTCAACAGTGGCTCACATATCTGGTATGGGCATGAAAGCCATCCCCAACATTTCATGCTTCTGCAGTCTTCGATCTGTCAACTTGTCGAACAACTTCATAGGTATGCTTTCTACGGAAAAGAAATAAACTGTAAGAGTTAATACTCAAAACACACTAGTTTTTACAGCTAACTAAGTTGCTTGGCTATTTGTCCTATTTTTGCAGCCCACATTACTCCCGGGTCGCTGCCGAAGAGTCTTCACACGCTCAACTTGTCCAAAAACAAGCTCAGCGCCATTGAAGGACTAAGAGACTTAACCCGATTGCGAGTACTTGATCTAAGTTACAACCGAATATCTAGAATCGGACGTGGTAAGTTTTCAACCATCTAATTGATATCAGAACACAAGCTTTTCCCTAGTAAAGTGTATCATTCCGAATGGTCACTGACTCGGTGGATTTTCATGGTGCCAGGATTATCGAGTTGTAATGTATTGAAGGAGCTCTATCTTTCCGGGAACAAGATCAGCGATGTAGAGGGTCTGCATAGGCTACTGAAGCTGACAGTTCTGGACTTGAGCTTCAACAAGATTACAACAACAAGGGCACTGGGCCAGCTGGTGGCTAACTACAACTCACTGCAGGCTCTAAACCTATTAGGGAATACAATCCAGACCAACATCGGCGATGAGCAGCTACGCAAGACAGTTTGTAGTCTCCTCCCAAAGCTAGTGTACCTGAACAAGCAGTCCATCAAGCCACAAAGAGCAAGGGAGGTACTCACCGACAGCGTAGCCAAAGCTGCACTTGGAAACAAAGGGTGGAACCCTAGAAGAAAAGCCAGCAAGAAGCTTAGCCAAAGAAGTGCATCGTTTAAAAAAACTCATGCCTTGCCATCGAAGAAAAGCTCATCATTTCCTACCCACGGGCACAAGAGAGGTGCAAGTGTTGTATAGGGAAACATACGCAAGACGAAGAGCATGGTCAGAGCGTTATCTGAACACCACTCTTCATCCCGTTAGATGATTCTTCAAAGTTAGGGGACTCAAAAAAGTTTAGAGATAAAAATTTCGAGGCGTGTGTGCGTCCCTTGTCTGATGTCTTCAGTGTTTCTTCAGTGTCTGTAGGGCCAAGGGACGTCGTGGTTTTCATGTTTCAGTTTTCCATCGGTTAATATATGCAGGCTGCATTTTTGCCCCAACTTCCGAATCTCGTTTAGCATGAGATCAGATACGTTCCCAGGCTATATTTGAAACCAACACAGATGCAGCAACCTAAACCTCCTACGTGATACATCCAAAGCAGCTACAAAAATTTGGAAAATGATTATTCGGTAGCGGATGCCAATCTCCCGTACCTGGTAGCTGGTACATTGTCGATTCATACGTTGTTGATATTTGATATTATCGACAATGTACCAAGCAGCACGAAAAGAATTTTCGAACTTATATGATGCAAGCAAGTCGGAAAAATCCCAAACAACAAGTTTAGGGGGAGGTTTGTGTCCTATCCTCTGTTTTCAAAACTAAACAGAATAAGAAAAAAGAGAGAGAAACAGAGCAGGAGTTTGTTATTGAAAATGTGTCAAATTCCTAATCTCTTATTCATCAATTGTTCCGAACGCTGGAATGGAAGTTTTAGAACCATTCTGTTCCGGGATAGACAAGGAAATGAATTGAATTCTTAGTCCCACTCTTACATTCCGACCAACCACACAAGGCCATAATTGAGAGACAGCTCAGACTAACAGTTGGGAGATGTCCCACTAAAGAAAAATAATTGAACCAAAATTTGAAGTGGAAAAGAATTGCTGGAAAACATCATGATCATAATGCTTGCAAACCAAAACAAATCTTCGGCGTAATCTTCACACGTTTCAAATCTTTATTTGAAATCCATGTAGGATTTGACTACTCGATTGAAACAATTCATAAACACGTAATAATTTGACGTATCAGTTGGAGACACTCGGATAATTCATAAACACAACAATAACCCCCAATTACCTGAGAGTGGCATCCATGACAAGTCCCTGTTGGCTCTGTTGTTTTCAGTGTCTCTTCAAGCTCTGAAGGGAAACAAAAACCTGTTGACATGAGCGTTGTACATCAATTCTGGCTTGTCTTGGCCAAGAGATTCCAACTGCCAATCAATGGTTGATCTTAAAAGAAAATTGGAACACCGTAAAGATTTTTCAAGAACATACGGCATCTTGTATACAAAGTTATAAACAAAAGAGAACTTCTTATCTTTCAAAGTTGAAGCTCAAAAGATCACTACAGAACTTTGGAGCTCATGCTCACAAGTCATTTAGTACCTGAAATCTAGTAGCAAAGAAATTATGGCATAAATGTCGGTTCTTGAAGTAAATCCTTCTTCTGCAGCAGTACCCGAATGCCCCAGTTCACATAAGTCCCGATTGAGCTTTTCGCATGAACATTAATTTCTTAAACTCTAGCTCCAGTTGATCAACAAGACACAAAAATTCCTGCTGCGACTCAAAGCTCAGAGGCGTAATTTTCACACAGCTTCATCGCAAGAACACCAATATATATTTGTTTTTTTTTTTTTTTTTATGACAAATGATAGCATGAGTGGTTAAATTGTTAAATGTTAGGTGGGAGGGAGATCGTTGGGGATCAAACCCACACCGGATTGCATAGGCGTTATTGCTTTCCGCCACTGCGCTAAAACACTATCTGCCAAGGATACCAATATATGGATTATCAATGGGGATAAATAATCCAAATTTCCAAATAGTGCCCCAAGGTTACATCACATGATTTCTCTTATGACTTCAAAAACCTCGAAAATCCTGTCAAGGAAGGCTAGCCAAGCTATCTATGATGCATTGCCGATTTCGTTGTAGCCCAATTTTCCTTGAAGCTCAAGAAAAGAACTCAAGTTTTTCTTAAACCTCTTTATCATTTCATTGATCAACACAGCCCTGTCCCATTTCCTTCATATCAGCATGCTTATACAACTTCTCATTGAACACCACCTGGGGATCCTTCTCAATCAAAACCCCATCTAGGTCATAAGCATCTTTCAGAAAAACAACCCAATTCATCTCCGTCCCAGCAAGATAAAACGTTCTGGGCTGCTTCAAAAGCATCTGATAAGTATGCTTAGTCAAGCTAAACTCCTCCTTGAACTCCACAACATGGTGTATGGAAGCCCTCTTCTCCAATGTCAAGCTCAAAAACTCATGCAACACTCCTACCCTGTACTTCTCGGCTTCCAGAGTCCAAAGGTCCAATCTTGATCCATCCGAATATGGCGAAACCAGTGGAAGTGAGTTCAACATGTTCAATTTCCTCTCATCCTCTATCTCCAGACCCAAATCCTTCCCATGCTTCACTGGAAACCGAAAAGCCCTCTTCACTCTCTCCTCATCCACCATGAACTCCCTCTCCATCGCGCTCACCGCCATCAACGGATCCCAATTCACCAGTTCAAGCACTCTCTTCCCATCCTCCTCAACCACAATCCTGAAAAAATTAGGGTATTTCGAAACCCTGTCCCTAAAATCTTCAGGAATTCCGAAAATCGACCTGCAATGGTAGATTTTACTCAGAGGGATACGCTTGTTGGCGGACATCATGAGCAATTTACGAACGTTGTTGACTCGGTCCAACTCCATTGAGTCGATTATGACTCGCTCCTCTTCGAGCAGAGCTTCCATGAAGTCGGTGAAGCCGATCCACATTTTATTGTCATCGTGGCGGTAGGTCTGGAAGATGAGGGGGTGGCGCTGGAGGGAGCGGGCGACTTTTCGGCCGCGGGGGAAGCCGAGTTCGCGGTAGAGCTTGCCGGCGTCCTCGAGGCGGAGGACGCGGTGGGGCTGCTTGGAGAGGAAATCTTTGGATTTGGTGAGGAATCGAAAGTAGGCGTCGCGCTCGACGATGTGTTCGAAGTGGGGGATGAGGTTGGGTTGGGTCTGGACTAGCTTGGTCCGAGGGCTTTCGTCCTTCTTGCGTTTTTTTCTGAATTTTTTGGGGGTTTTGGTGATGAGGAAGGAGGTGGAGAACGGCGAGGTTTGGTGGAGGAGGAGTGAGGGCTGCGAGTGGTTAAGGTTTGGGAGGTGAGGTGAGGGTTTAGGGTTTGGGGTTTTGGAAAGGATGAGGCGCCAAAACGCCATGGAATTGGAAGCTCAACTGAGAATTTGAGACTATGGAACTTGGTTACGGTTTTTAAGTGGTAACTGCAAATTAGCATATCCATTTGTTTTCCTAAATTATAATTTACACCTATAGATTATATGCTAGTGTTATTCAACAGTCTTATTAATTTTTTGTAATTAATCTTTTTCGATTCATTTTTTATAGTCAAAAATTAAAAAGATAAATGACAAATAGAAATAAGTGGTTGAATAACACTTCTCTAAGTAATACTAAAACCTAATAATAATAAAAATATACAGTAATTTGGAATAATAGCACTTTTGCATAGACTTACATTAATTTGGAACCAGAATTAAAATAAGGAAATTTTTTTGACATGTTATATGAACTTGTTTATATTTTCAATTTGTCATATAAACTAAAATTTTAAGCAATTTGTCATACCAACTTTACAAAATCATTAATTTGTCATCTCACCCTAACTCTGTTAATTTTTTCATCTAATATAAGTCATGTGCCTCACACATGACTTGTGTTCGGGGTTATTTAGGTCATTTTAACATCTTTTCACAAATGTTTTTACTTTTCTTTAGTACAAACACTAAAAAAAAAAAAAAAAATTTAATTTAGCGCATGTGCATCTACAACTCTATTTATGGCACAAAACGTTAACCTGTTTCTCATTTATAGAGCCCGTATGAAATTATGTCTTCATGACATGCTAAAATGCAAACTCCCACTTGTGTATCATTACATATTTGGAATAACCAAAAGATAGTGTGCATTGCATGATCATTTCATTGCTATCATATAAAAAATATTGTTCCATTGCCTAATAAACCCTATAGTTTTTGTCGAATACAACTTGATAAAAGGAAAGTAAGGTATTAAAATGACCGAAATAACCCTAAACACAAGTCTCGCACATGACTTATATTGGATGGAAAACTTAAAAGAGTTAGGGAGAGATGACAAATTAATGATTTCAAAAGGTTGGTATGACAAATTGCTTAAAATTTTAGTTTACATGACAAATTGAAAAATGCATACAAGTTCATATAAAATTACAAAAATTTTTCCTTAAAATAAATAATAAATAATTTTCACTTTACTATCTTCAAGTGATGTGATAAGCTTATGACCCCACCAAAAAATTTAAATTAATCAAAAATAATTAATTATTGTTGTGGCTTATTTTAATCTGACAAGGGAAAGGGGGTCGGTGGCATAGAGAGAGATATGTTTGTAGGGTTATGTAAATGATGTGTTATTCCCCCTAGGCAGTGCCTTTATTTATAGTAATAAGGAAGGGAAGAATCATTCTCCTCTAAGGAATACAAGTCCTAATATGGAAGAATAACTAGTATCAAATCTAATTTAAGATTTACACAATTACACCTAAATACAAAGTTTATAGCACTGCCCCTTGAGTGTGTAAATACTCAAGTAGATTCGACATCATGTAGAGTTGAGGAAGTCGACTCGTCGACACTGATTTTGGGAACATGCTAGTTTTAATGTAAAGTAGGAACTTGTATATGGAACTAAGTCTCCCAAAAAACCCAACAGCTATAGTAATACTCAAGTAGGGACAAAATCCATAGTCTAAGGAAAAACAGGGAGAAATGCAAAGTTAAATGAAACGTCTACGTGGCGTCATTAGGGATATGATCAACCCAAGGTGGGTGCCTCATCAAAACCTCGTTAGGTAGCAAAAACCTGGTGGAAAAAATACTCCTAATCTTTGGGAAAAATAGAACATTAAGATTAAGCAAGTATACTTCAGGATACTCCCCCTGAGTTCGACATAATTCCAAAGAGAACTAACATTGTTACAACTCTGAAACATTGTTACAACTCTGAGTTCAACACAATTCAAAAAGTTTACTACATATTCCTTGAACAAGCTTCTGAAATGTCGCCTTCGATGGTGATTTGGTGAAGAGGTCGGCCAAATTGTCTTGTGAATGGATTTACGTGATTTCAATCTTCTGATGCTCTTGCTGTTGATATGAGAAGAAGAACTTCGGTACAATGTGCTTGATGTTGTCTCCTTTGATGTAACCCTTCTTGAGCTGTTTGATGCATGCTGCGTTATCTTCATAAATCATTGTCGAAACGTTAACGGCGGGGTAAAAATTGCATGAGCTTCAAATATGGCTCACAACTGCTCTCAACTAGAAGCATTCCTGAGTTGCTTCGTGTAAGGTGAGAATTTCAGCATGGTTAGACAAATTGGCAACTAAGGTCTATTTAGTTGACCTCCAAGAGATTGCGGTACCTCTAATGGTAAAGACATAACCCATTTGAGAACGAGCCTTGTGTGGATCAAATAAGTATCTTGCGTTGGCATAACCAACAAGGCGAGAATCAACTCGAGATAAGGGGGTGTGACATCACTCAAGGATTCATAGGGATAGAACAAACCCAGATCCATAGAACCTTTAAGCTAACAGAATATGTCTTTAACACTAGTCCAGTGTCTGCGTGTAGGTGGATTATTGTATCTTGTCAAAAGATTAACAGTGAAGGTGATGTTGGGTCTAATGCATTAAGCTAAGTACAATAAAGCACCTATCACACTTAGATAAGGAACTTCAGGCTCTAAAACCTCTTCATCATCCTCATTCGAACGGAATAGATCTCGCTTTGCATATAACGATCAAACGATCATAGGAGTACACGAAGGCTTCACTTTATCCAAGTTAAAACAGCAACACCTTCTAAGTGTAGTTCAGTTGATGTACTTAGATTCCATCAAAACGGTGTTTTATCTCGAGATCGAGACAGTATCGAGTCTTTCCTAGATCTTTCACCTCAAATTCCAACTTAAGGTGTGCAGGGCAGTTCTTTCTAGCTCTTAAGGAGTTCCAATGAGGTTTATGTCGTCGACATAAACTACAACAATTTCGCAAAACTGGAATGTGACTTCTTAATGAACACACAAGGGCATAGTTCATTGTTCACATATCCCTGACTCTTCAGATACTCACTCAAATGGTTATACCGCATTATTCCGAATTGCTTCAAACCGTAGAATGAACGCCTCAGCCGAATTAAGAGCATGTTCTGAAGTTTGGAAATATTTGATTCGGTCAATGTAAGTCCTTCGGGAACTTTCATATAAATTTTGGTATCAAGATCCTCATAGAGATACGCAGTTACTACGTCCATAACGGATGAATAAGTTTCATCATAGTCAATCCCTAGTTTTTGTGAGAAGCCTTGCATAACCAGACGAGCTTTGTAACGCACAATTTCGTTATTCTCATTACGCTTCCAAACGAAAACCCACATGTAACCAACAGGCTTTACATATGGAAGAGTATCAGTTACAGATCCAAACACCTTATGTTTCACAAGCGAATCGAGTTCGACTTCGATTGCTTGTTTTCAATTTGACCAATCAATTCTATGTCAACATTCATCAACAGAACGGGGTTCAATGTCATCGCTCAACATTATCTCAATAACTACTACATGTGTTAATGCATCATCAATAATCATCTCATTTCTACACCAAACATCATCTAAGCTAGCATAATGGACTGAAATCTCTTGATTCTTGAAAGGTGGATTCGTCTCTTCAAGGACGTTTCCGTAATCTAAATTTCCTCATGAGTTGGATAGAAGGAGTAAGGGAGAGTCGGACTCAAGGTAGGCTTAAGAGGATCCTGTGCCATGGGCTTCCTCTTCCGGGGGTGTGAATTCTTTGAATTAAGTGGTCTGCCACACTTATGTGTAGGGGCAGAGGATTGGATAGTTGCTAATGTATGTGGATCGGCCAAAGTGACGTCCCAGGCTTCCATGAGGGAAGTATGTCGTATATTTGGTACATCTAACTTTGCGGGCACATTCGCAGCTGGAATATGTGATCTTGTCACTCGTGCTAGATCGATGAAAGCATCTGGCATGCTATAAGCTACGCTCTGAAGATCTAATATATGTTGCACTTCAGTTTTAGACTGAGCGGTGCGGGGATCTAAATGAGACAAAGTGGGAGTCGTCCACGATAATTCGTGTTGTTCTTCAGGAACGTTAACATTCTTATCTCCCCTTAATGACAGAAAGATTATCTCATAGAAGTGACAATCCGCGAAATGAGCGGTAAGCAGATCGCCTATCAAAGGTTCTAAGTAATGAATGATTGAAGGAGAATCATATCCAACATAGATTATCATCCTTCGCTGAGGTTCTATTTTGGTACGTAAGGGAGGTGAAATTAGCACATAGACCACACAACCAAAAACGCGCAGATACGATATGTCAGGTTCGTATCCATAACCAATTGAAGGGCGTTATATAGTTGGGTCACAACAAGCTCAGGCAGACCAACATGGCTGCGTGCAATATTGCATGGCCCCAAGTAGCGATCGAGAGCTTAGTACGTATAACCAACAATTGAGCAATCATTTGTAAGCGCTTAATGAATGCCTCTGCCAGACCGTTATAGGTATGACCATGGGGTACTAGATGTTCAACTTCAACCCCAACCGACATGCAATAGTCATAAAAAAATTTAGATGTAAATTCTCCAGCATTATCCAATCGAATAGATTTGATTGGATAATTAGGGTGGTCAGCCTTGAGCTTGATAACTTGAACCAACAGTTTGGAGAATGTAGTGTTCCTTGTGGACAACAAGCACACGTGTGACCAAAGTGTGGAAGCATCAACCAGTATCATAAAATATCTAAATGGTCCGCAGGAATGGTGAATCGGTCCACAAATGTCCCCTTGAATCCTTTGTCGAAAAGTATGAGGATTCGAATGAATCTTGTCATAAAAAGGCTTATAATAAGTTTTCTTATGGAGCAGGTTTGACATGTGATTCCTTGAATCGAACCTAAACTTTAGGTTAGTGGGTGCCCGTGTGATGATTTGAGGATATGGCACATCGTTGTTCAGTCCAGGGTGTCCCAAACGATCATGCCAAAGTGTAATTTCGTGCACAGTCGTAGAGGTAGGGCTAGCCACATAGTGGCTTTCTATAAGGCGTATGGTCATAGTATATAGACCACTCGAGATATACTCCATCTTCTCTAGAATACACTTGTGGCCATATTCGTAGAAAGTTATGCACAAAAATTCAATTACGTTTTCTACGTAGGTTT